AGAACTTTGGCTGTAGTCGGGCGCATGACGCTGGAGCGGCCATGTTATATGCCCAAACTTTAGATCGCATTTTTTAGCCTTTTTACAATCCCAAACTACTTCAAACACTTCATATTATAAATACCCAAGCCATAATTCGTCCCAAACCATATTTGTTCCATTAGTTGAGCCATTATTCATTCAAGAGAACATCCTATGGAGATCAAACATAAATTTCTATAATCTCTTTATTCAATCATAAGATCAAATCATAAGATCTAAAGATCAAATACTAGAAATCCTTATCTATAAGTATTTAGAGTTCTGAAATTGGAAAAGAGGCGTTTGGAGTTCTAGTGCTTAGGAACAAGTTTGTTCTCGGTGATCAAGTGTAGAGAAAAGTAGTCCAGAGTTCTGGAATGTGTGGGTCGTATAATCGAAGAGGTTCTTCAGTGATTTATAAGTTGGATGGTCAGAGTCAACTAAAATTTAGCAGTGTCTGAACCAATTGTAAGTTAAATTTTTTAGTGAATCTTTGGCAAGGTTTGTTCGAAAGTTTTTTATCTTTATGAAGAGTTCATCAAGGGCGTTTTCCTCCGTCATCAATTGATGCTAGGCCTTACACCACGAAGTTATACCTGAGGTAGGGAAGTTAATAACATCTGTTTCTAACCATTTCCAAGAAGTTCCAAATTGGACCAAAATCCGAATAATTTTGACGGGATCAACTCCCTCTTCGCGAAGCCTAGAATACTCGTCATCGTCAATATTCGGAAAATTATAGAACATGTTGATGGAAGTTCTATCAAAAGGGGTCCGTTTACCCCGTACAAACACTCAGAAGCCTTTGTGTTTCCTCGTATTGGCATAAAATTCTCTGACAATCGGAATTAGTGCAGGTCGTGACTGTTTAGCAAACGCTTCCCATTTTCGTTGTTCAATCTGCTTCATCATGTAATTGTCAAAGCCTCTTTCGGTTATATAGGTCTTATGTAACAATAAGTTATTATACTGTTAGGCGACCTCAGCATTTATGAATTTGCTTTTATCAAATGAGCTGGAAGAGGGGGCTATGGCCTTCGATCTCTTTTTAGGTGAGATTGTACCTATGTAGAAAGATAAGATGAAAACTCTTAGCAAGTTAGGTAACAAATATAAAAGTGCGATAAAATAGGGCCCCAAAATACACCAATTTATGTAATGTTTCCAGCACCAAAGTCTATAAAGTCATGCTGTCAAGAAATGTGTCATGATAAAGTAGACGAAATCACCACTTGCAACAATTTGAAATTGACACCTTTGTGGTAAATGGAGAAGTGTCGTGTGCGTGTTCTTGGTGAGACCGTTAAGAAGACGAACTTGTGAAGAAGCGGTGAAGAAGAAGGGCTTGGGAGAGTGCTTGGGATGAAGGGGAAGGTAAATTTATAAGTGGGTAGGAATGGGTGTGTTTAAACGTAGGGTTAGGTTTAAAACAGTATCACAGCGTCGCCTGGGCGCTGCGTTTCTATAAATTTTATTTAACACTTTTACTTTTCACTCTCCATTCTAGAACTTATTCATCCTCTCTAATGTGATGATTTGAATTCCACTCTCCCGTTCAAGCTTGTATTCGCCATCAAACTTGAGATTTGTCCTATAAAATACAATGAGATTGTTACTAACAATAAAATATACCTTGCTAAAAAAACATAAAAGTTATATATATAATAAGAGAATGATAGGGCTAGGGTTGCCTATCAAAAATCGCTTATTTAAAGTCATTAGCTCGACTTTGTGCCACTATTATTCTGGAACAACTAGTTCAAGACTTTTCTTAATGGTGGGAAAATCCTCTAAGTAGTATTTGATGCGATCTCCATTAGCCTTGAAATTTTCCTTGGGTGGGTAGTGTAACTCAACTATACCGTGTGGAAACACTTGGGATACCATGAAAGGTCCGGATCATCTTGATTTCAACTGTCCTGGAAAGAGTTTAAACCTGGAGTTGTACAAGATCACTTGATCTCCCACTCTGAAAATTCGTTGTCTAATGTTCTTGTCATGCTACTACTTTTTCTTTTCTTTGTAGACTGATGCATTCTCATAGGCTTCTCTTCTGAATTTTTCCAATTCATGAAGTTGTACATTCATGTTTTCCCCGCCTTCTCTAAGTCCATGTTCAATTGCTTCAATGCCTAGTATGCTCTGTGCTCAAACTCGACTGATAAGTGCCAAGCTTTCCCAAATACTATTCGGTATGGTGACATTCCAATCTGCATCTTGTAAGCGATGCGATAGGCCAAAATGCCCAGTATGCTTTTTGTTCAAACTCAACTGGTAAGTGGCAAGCCTTCCCAAATTCTATTCGGTATGGTGACATTCCAATCGGTGTCTTGTACACGGTGCGATAAGCTAACAAAGCAACGTCCAATTTCTTGGACCAATCTTTTTGAGATGCATTTACCGTGAGTTCCAAAATTATTTTCAATGGTCTGTTAGAAGTTTCAACTTGTCAACTTGTTTGAGGATAATAAGGCGTGGCAATGCGATGTTGTACCCCATACTTATGAAGCACTACCTGGAATAACCGATTACGAAAGTGAGTCTCACCATCACTTATGATGACTCTAGGTGATCCATAGCGATTGAATCCTACCACCACTTATAAATCCTACCACCACTTCACCATCACTGGTGGTAGCTTCCACCCATTTGGAAACATAGTCAACTGCCACTAAGATGTATAGATTGTTCTAGGATGATGGAAAAGGTCCCAAAAAATCAACACCCCATACATCAAATATTTCGACTTCCAGAATATTGTTTAGTGGCATCTCGTGACGGACCGATATGTTACATGTTCTTTGACACTTATCACTTGATCTATAAAAAATGTGACAACCCTTAAATAATGTTGACCAAAAGAAGCCGCATTAAAGCACCTTCACTGCTGTTTTAGTGGGGCCAAAGTGTCCTCCATAAGCTAATGCATGAACCTGTGATAGGATGGACTTCATCTCAACCTCTGGCACGCATCTTACGATGATTTGATCTGCCACACTTCTGTATAAATTTGGATCATCCCAATAATATAATTTCGCTTTATGGATAAGCTTATTCTTCTGCTAATAAGTGAGGCTTGGATCCACATACCCACTAGTTAAGTAGTTGACAATGTTTGGATACCACAAAGCCTTTTCCACTTGCAATGACTGTTCGTCTGAAAATATTTCATTGATATCCACCTCATCTAAATCTTTCGAGTGTTCTAGTCTCGATAAGTGATTCGCTCCATGGTTTTCTGTTCCCTTTTTATCACAAATTTCAATATCAAACTCTTCTAGTAATAGAACCATCGAATCAGCTTGGGTTTCGCATCCTTCTTCTCGAACGAATATTTCAAAGCTGCATGGTTTGTGTAGACTATCACCTTTGAACCAATCAAATAAGAAAGAAATTTGTCGAAGGCAAATACCACTGCTAGCATTTTCTTCTCAGTTGTTGCGTAGTTTATCCGGGCATTTGTTAAAGTTTTTCTAGTATAGTAGATGACATGCAATATCTTTTTCTTTCGTTATCCCAGCATTGCTCCTATTGTGAAATCACTGGCATCACACATGAGTTCGAAAGGTAGTTCCCGATTTTGTGCTTCTATAACCGGTGTAGAAGTTAACTTTTCTCTCAAATTATCAAAGGCATTTAAACACTCATTAGAAAAATCAGATGGCACATCTTTCTCCAGTAGGTTGTATAGCGGTTTTGTAATCTTTGAAAAGTTCTGATTAAATCTTCCGTCAAACTTTACATGTCCCAAAAGCTTCTGATTTCTCTAATTGAAGTAGGTGACTGCAATTTTTCGATTACTTGTACCTTGGCTTTGTCAACCTCAATACCCTGTGAAGAGATCCTATGCCCCAACACTATTTTCTCTTTCACCACAAAGTGACACTTCTCCAATTGAGTACCAGATTCCTTTCTTCATACCTATGTAGCACTAGAGATAGGTGTTCCAAGCAATCATCAAAAGAATATCCAAATACCAAGAGTCATCCATAAACACCTTGATATACTTTTCCACCATGTTAGAAAATATGGCCATCATGCATAGTTGAAAAGTTGCAGGTGTGTTGCATAGACCAAAAAGTATTATCCTAAAAAGTAAAAGTATTATAGGGACAAGTGAATGTTGTTTTCTCCTGGTCTTCTGGAACAATGACTATTTGATTGTATCCCGAATATCCGTCTAAAAAGAAGTAATGAGTGTGTCCTGCTATCCTTTCCAACATCTTATCAATAAAGGGCAATGGGAAGTGATCTTTTCTAGTGGCATTATTCAACTTCCTGTAATCCATACACACTCTCCACCTCGTTACTAACCGTGTTGGTATCAGCTCATTGTTCTCATTCTTCTCTACTGTAATTTCACCCTTCTTAGGCAACACATGTACTGAAATCACCCAAAAACTATTTGATATAGGATAGATATTCCATACATCTAGCCATTTCAGCACTTCCTTTCTCACTACTTCCTTTAAAGTTGGATTTAATCTGCATTGACCATCCACTGATGGCTTTGACTCATCATCCATTAAGATTTTGTGCATGCAAAGGATGGGACTGATTCCTCTAATGTTAGCTATGGTCCATCCAATTGCAGTTTTGTGCTTCTTTAGTACCTCTAATAAATTTTTCCCTACTCCTCTGTTATATCAACTACAATGATTACGAAAGTTTAACAGATTCACCCAAGTATGTATAATGTTGTAGCGACCGAGAACTTTTAAATGATATAAAATTATTTCTCGAAAGACTTGTCGCTAAACCTTAACCCTAATTTTAAAGAGATAGC